GCTGCCCCGATTACCCCTTAGGAGCAGGGAGAGGTGGAGAAGCTCTCAGGGGTGATTGGCAGCCTCCACTCACACCAGCTGATAGCGCTGAGCAATCAAGACCAGTGCCAGGTGCCAGTAGCAAATGGGAGCACCTGGCAGGACCATGGTGCGCAGGAGCAAATAATTTCCAGTAACCATCAGAGGCTCACCCCGATAACAGCTGCTGGCTCCACACCTTGATCTGGCGCCCCCACTCACCTGCTCCACCATCCTGCCATGTCCCATGCTCTACTGCTTCCTGCCAATGCCCACCATGTTCTGTGCGCATCTCCTGGTGGTCAGTACACATCACAGCAACCGGTTGTTTGGTTGTTTGGTTGTTACACCATTAGGTCTATTTGCACATTAGGGTTTTATATATAGAGATAATATATAGATAATCATTTTCTGTGTTATGTTGACTTTTTATTTTTAATGCTAAATAATGGTACAGAGAAGCTCTAATCTCTAGGACAGTGATGGGTAATTTTTTTGTGTCAATTTGACTGGGCCAATGGGTTCCCATATTAAACGTTATTTCTGGGTATGCTAATGAGTGTGTTTCCAGATGAGATTGGCATTTGAATAAGTGGATTCAGTAAAGTAGATTGCTTTCTCGAGTGTGGACGGGCATAATCCAATCCACTGATAGCCTGAATAGAACACAAAGTCAAAGGAAGAAGGAAGTCAAACCTTTTGCTTCTTACCTGGCTGATTGAGCAGGGGCATATGTACTCTTCGGCCATTGGACACTGTTGGACTAGGATTTATACCATCTGCTCCACTGGTCCTCCAACTTCCAGAAAGTATATCACAGGACTTCTCAGCCTCCATAATCATGTGACCCAATTCCTCAAATTGGGAAATGAAAACTTATTTGATGTTTAAAATTTACATTACTTTACATTACTTACTATTGAGGATGAATATATTATGTGTTTATTGAGCACCTGCATTTTCTCTTTCATGATTTTTCTCATACCTTTTGTCCATTTTTCTATTGGACCCTTGATTTTAATGAACTCATTATAATTGCAACATATCAATAAAATGTTTTTTGTGTGTGTGATTTTTTCCCCCACCTAAAATAGATTTCACAAAATTAAGGAAAGCACTGGCAAAATAAAAACAAATCTTTATAATCACAGAAAGAAAAGTATAAGCAGAAATAATATTAGTTCAAATATTGAAGGATACCATCTAGTGGAAAATTGGTTTCAACTTCTCTTTCTGGAACAGAGTTGCCCAAATTTAGTATTTATGGGACCTTTTAAAATTTATATTCTATTCTCTCTTCTGCTTGGAGATTTTGAACTCACTTAATGTATGTGATAACCTAAGAGCGTATTTCAATATTATCTATATTAGAAACTATAAACATTTGTATCGGTTAAAATTAAGGTGCCCAGTGGTACATGGTGCTGTCCATTTTGTGGATGAAAAGAGGGCACCTACCAAACCTAACAAGTTCATGGAAGGCCAGTAGGAAGAGCCTTGCGAACTCAGAGACTGAAAGCAACCACACGGGACGAGCTGAACATAAAAATTCCTGACTCTACGTGGGTCATGGTGGGCAGTCACATTCTAGGCCTGTAGCTTCCTTCACAAAGGTCAGTCTTTACCTTAAGTAAGCCTGTATTTTTGCATCTAAGATACCATCGCTTTGGAATGTCGGAATAATCTCCTTTTTTTGAGCCCTCAGGCTTCAACTTTTCACCATAGCACAGAACCCCTCATTATGTCATTGCCCACATTCCATCTCTATGTGCTGTAAACATTAATTATTAACTACCCTGTACCCACCACTGTAAAAAAAAGTATGCGCCTCTCCATTTTACCTTTGCTACAATCTCAGAGATTTCCCTGTTATGCTTTCTTCCACCTCTCTAACCTACCACCAGTGAATTTCATGTAATTATGTCTGCTCCTTTGATTCTGATCTATAAAGTAAGCTATAAAACAGCCACTCTCCAGAATATTTCCCCAACCAGTTGAGATTTTGGTTCCCAGCAATTGTTGTCAATTTGGCTCAAATAAACTCTCCTACGACTTCTTCTTAGACTGGACTTCTTTCATCAACATTTAAAAAAAAAAAAAAGATAAATCTATTCTTTTTTTTAAAAAAAAATATGTTTTTATTGATTTTTTTTAGAGAGAGAGGAAGGGAGAAGGATAGAGAGATATAAACATTGATGATAGAGAAACACCATAGATCGGCTGCCTCCTGCACTTACCCCTACAGGGGACTGAGCTGGCGACCTCTTGGTTCCTGAGTGGATGCTCAGCCACTGAGTCACACCAGCCAGGCTGGTCAACGTTTCTGAATTAGAATTTTCACCAAACTTTACCACAAAAAAAAGTAATTTTGCTGCTGATGACATACTTTTTCATTGCAGTCTGTGCTAACCCTGTGCTAATTGCTTTACTTGTATTATTTGACTTGAGCCTCTCAGCAACTCTAATAAAGCAGGTACTATTATTATGCCAGAGGCATGCCCAGGAGCTATTTCAGGCTCGGTTCCAGACCACTGCCATAAAATAAATATCATAATAAAGTGAGTCGTAATATTTTTGCTGGTGAGGAGTCTTGCCTTCAGTTTGTAAAAAACAACACCACCACCACCTGTGAATTCTAATGAAGTGAAACACAATAAAAAGAGGGATGCCTGTATTTTACAAAGGAAAACACTGAGGCAGAGGAGTTCAGCGGCTTCCCCAAGGTCACACAGCTAATTAGGTGCTATGGCCTGGAGCCCATCATGTTATTACATGTGTGCACAGGGCTCTAAGATGGGAGAGGTAATAGTCACCCCAACAATAAAAAAGGACTAATGATTTTACAGGTCTATACTGTCATCTACATTCAGCTTAGTATACCACATGCAGAAATGAGCTATATTCCTTAATTACTGGGGGCTGCTTAGGAACATTTTGCAACTTAACATTTACATGGTTTGGTTTAATACATCCCACACTCAGATGTTCAGAGGTTTGTGGTGCTATACATTTGTTTTTCAATAATTTGCTCTTACACTCCATTCCCGCCCTAATACTAACACAAATTAAACTGATCTGCTTCCAGCCTTCTAGGTGGAGGCAATCTGAAACTAATTTATTTATAACTGGTTAGAAAACCCACTTGATCGAGATCTGTCCACCAGGCCAGGCAGGTGAGGCTAATGACGTTGGCCTTACATGGGTGCCTGCCCCTATGCCACAGGGGCCAAGACCCGTGGCCTATCCAGCCTGGTCTGAGCCCACTAAGTTGTGGTAGAAGCCAAGCTTTGCTTCCCCAGTCCTCACTGAAACATCTGCTCTATAGTTCACTCCCTCCTGAGCGCACAACGTATCAACTAACTGCAAACTAAAAAATTAATTCGTGCCCTCATAGGAAATAATGTGAGGGTAACATAGGAACTTTATACGAGTCCTGTAGCCCTGACAACTGCTCTATGCTAAAATATTTTCAGCATTAGTAAACAAAGAGCATCCAGTAATGTAGTGGATTTTAAAAAATAGAGTAAACAAACAATACACTGATTTCTCAATTTATTTTTACATCGCTGAGTGGAAGACAAGTTTGAAAATATAATCTTCTATTTGTATCTGTATATCCCTCACTCCCATCCCCACCTCCCAGGAGCTCAAAGTGTGAAATGGTTGAGCCCAACGATGCAGAAAAGGTTCAAATCAATAGTCAGCAAGACAACGGGGAAACACTGGTGACTAAAAAAGAATCTCCAAGTGTACAGAAGAATAGGGAAAATGAAAATAATGGTCACGTTAACTGAGCATTGATTTGTCCCAGGCTCTTTTCTAAATGCTCTTTGAATTCACTGTCACCTAGTAATCCCCACAAGGAAATTTCTCGGGGAAGAAACAGTTATTAATCTTAATATACAAATAAGAAAATTGAATAGTTAAGTCATTTGCTGGAGTCAAACAGCTAGTCAACTCTGGACCCAGAGCCAAGCTGTCAGGCCCAGAGCCCAAATTCTCCCACCTACTACAGGACAAGAGATGAAACCCGTATCATCTCCTCGAGAGTCAGACAAACCTGGGGCGACAGAAACCCACAACAGATCACCCCTTTAATTAGCACCTGTCTGATTGCACAGGTGTCTAGGCTCTTGCTGTCTCAAGCTCATTGAGAGAGGTAAATTAACTGTGCGTGATCACGCAGCTGAGTTCAAAATGAGTCTTACAGGGTAAGAGTATATGGACGTCTTGGACTGTAAAGGGGACTAAGCCATTCTTCTCAGTATTTTTTTTTTAAAGTAATATTGGGGAAAATCAGGACTTTTAAAAAATATATTTTATTGATTTTTTTAGAGAGAGGAAGGGAGAGGGATAGAGAGTTAGAAACATCGATGAGAATCATCTATCAGCCGCCTCTTGCATGTACCCTACTGGGGATGTGTCCGCAACCAAGGTACATGCCCTTGACCGGAATCGAACCGGGGACCCTTCAGTCCGCAAACTGACCTCTATCCACTGAGCCAAACCGGTTTCGGCTCTTTTCAGGTTCTTAAATTTTATTTATTTTTAAGTGAGAGAAGAAAAAGAAAAACGCCAAACCAGGTTACAGGAATCTTGGTAAAGATACACATAAAACAAATGAATGCTTTAAACATACCCAATACGATAGGAGGGTTTGAAACGTCATTTTGCAGGTAAACCACATAGGTAGGTCCCAGCCTAACCCTGGGTGCCTCCTCGCTCTAGGTCTGAGCCCACTGTTTACAAACGCCATAGAACAGCCACCAGGGGGCGCCGGCGGCAGGCCGAGCCCTCAGCCACTGAGCGGTGCCCCGGGAATAGCAGCCGGGTCAGGAACGCGCTCGGAACCGAAGCGCTCGCCCCGCCGGTCGGACCGCGTTCCCGAAGGACCAGGGGGCGGGCCGGGGTCTGGCCGGCCGGAGGGACACGCGGGTCAGTTGCGCGGCGGGGCCGGCGGAGGGCAGTGCGGCCTGCGGACCATGCTGAGCGCGGGCAGGCTCGGCTCCGTGCTGCGGGGGACACGCGCGCCGCCGCCGTCCGCGGTCGCCCGCAGGTGCCTGCGCGTGTCAGGGTCGCGGCCGGCGGCCGACGAGAGCGAGAGGCCCGGAGGGCCGCCCCAGGCCTTCGACCCGGCGCTGCTGGAGTTCCTGGTGTGCCCGCTCTCCAAGAAGCCGCTCCGGTGAGCGCCGCCCGCGGCCTCCGGGGCGGGGAGGCGGGGGACCGCGGCCGCTGCCGCCAGCCGCCGGGAGCCGGTGGTCCGTCCGGGAGTCCCCGCCGCCATGTTGGGTCAGGTGACCAGACGTCCCGACTTCCAACAATGTGTCCCGCGGCGTTAAAAAAAAAAAAAAAAAAAGTCCCGATTTTTGAGACTTTTTTTTAATAAACGCCGCGGGACACATTGTTGAGAATCGGGACGTTCGGTTTTTGGGGGGCTTTTTTGGTTTGTGTGTCCCCCCCCAAAAAAAAATCTTTTCTTTTTTTTAAGAGCGCCGCGGGACGGATTGCTGAAAATCGGGATGATTTAAAAAAAAAAAAATACGGGGCTTTTTTTAAAGCGCCGCGGGACACATTGTTGAAAACCGGAGATGAGTTTTTTAAAAACTCGGGACTTTTCCTTTAAGGCGCCGCGGGACACGCAGTTGAAAACCGGGGCGTCTGGTCACCTGACGCTGGGGGCCCCGCCGGCTCCCACGCGCCTCCCCCGGCGGCGGGAGGAAAGGCGGGCGGAGGCCGAAGGGGAGGGAGCCGAGCCCCCGGCCCCCCGAACCTCGCCGCCCGCCCGCCCGCCCGCGTCGGAGCGGTTATAGGTTCGCCCTTGGCGGCGCGTCGGGACCACCCGAGGGCCTACTCCGGCCCTGACCGGTGTGGCCCAGTGGGTAGAGCGTCGGCCTACGGGCTGGAAGGTCCCGGGTTCGATTCCGGTCAAGGGCATGTACCTTGGTTGCGGGCACATCCCCAGAGGGGGGTGTGCAGGAGGCAGCTGGTCGATGCTTCTGTCTCATCGATGTTTCTACCGTGTTTCCCCCCAAATAAGACATCCTGCTAAAATAAGACCTAGCGCAACTTTGGGAGAAAAAAATTAATATAAGACACTGTCTTATTTTCGGGAAAACAGGGTGGCTCTCTATCCCTCTCCCTTCCTCTCTGTAAAAAATAAAAAAATATATATATATTTAAGAAAAAAAAATGTCGACTCCCGGGCCCCACCCCCTATGGGGAATAGGAAGGTCCGGGCCCAGCCCAGCCAGGTGTGTGAAGCGTGTGTTCAGGACGAGGCCGAGGCACCGCGGTCTCAGCCCAGATGATGCAGAAGACTGTGGTGGCCTCCAGGTCCAAAGGGTGCCGGCTGCGTGTGCTGCCCTTTGGCCTTTAGTCCAGGGTCACCGGGCCTTTGCCAGGGCCCCCTTAGCCTTCAGCTGCAGAGTCCTCCAGGCAGACCACGCTCCAGGTCCAGGCCCCCCACTGGGGATGTGCCCAACCAAGGTACATGCCCTTGACCAGAATGGGTCCTGGGACCCTTCAGTCTGCAGGCGGATGCTCTATCCCCTGAACCAAACAGGTCTCGGCCTTCGGCCGCTGATTAATATTTTAACCTTGCTGTTTTGGGTTCTGTACTCATTTAAAAGTTACCTTGATTTTCTGAATGTATGTATGCCATCCCAAAACTCCATTGATGATGGTTTGAATGTCCCATTGTCTGTGATCTCACTGGTCACCGAAGCACATTTCTGGGACCCAGACTGATCCATTAGCCCGAATTGCCTCAGAAGGTACAGAGAGTGCATTCCTGTTGACGCAGTGATCCCAGAATCTGGGCCGCACAATTGCTCTAAATTGTCCAGTTGGTCCGTCCCAGATAATGTGCTTCTGTCGATTCAGTGACTTGTAGATACTTTAGATAGCTAACTTGCTCAGTTTCACCTCTGTAAAATCGAAAAACAGGTTCCTTATTCCAGACCCAAAGATGTAATCAATACCTTTGTGATATTCTGCCAATATAGGCCAGGCCTGGCAAAGCGGTTCGGGGCTGCGAGGTATGGAGCGCTTTTGCTCCCTCGTATGCTGCTGGCCTTTAATAAATGACTCCATGATTCGACCTTTTTTGAGGCGTCCTTTGTAAGATGGGGTTACATCACAACACTGACAACACGACATCACAACACTGACAACACTGCAGATGGAATCTACCAACCACCGCAGTGTTATGAGTGGTACCACGCTTGGGTGGTAGATTGAGAGTAATTTTAATTTTCCTCTTTTTGCATTTTCCTTTCTAGAATTTTTCCTCCCCATATGGAACATATTAAATGTTTCTTAAACATTGAAATTATCACTTGATCATCTACCTTGCTAATTGTGGGACTAGCTCACTACGGATGGGCTGTTTCCCAGTTTTCTCATTTCTGCCCTTTTATCTTTCTCAAACTTTTTTGTGTGTTTGATTTTTCAGTGATTTCCTTTTAATGGACCAGTTAGTTTGCTCTCCTGCATTCTAAAAGGAGGAAGTTGAATTTTCCTCTAGCATCCTTTCAGTAGTAAAGGAACTGGGATGGTTTTGAGGGTGACCAGAGTGATGAAGGAATAGTTGAATGGAAAGGGTGGAGCGTTTTTGACTTTTTTTTTTTTTTTTTTTTTTTTTTTTTTTTATGCATTCATTGAAAATGAAATGAAAAAGAAAATATGAAATTCAGGCTCTTTTCAGTATTGTGTTTCTCACAATTCATTTTTCTTTTCCCCCCTCAGATATGAAGCATCGACAAATGAATTGATTAATGAAGAATTGGGAATAGCCTATCCAATTATTGATGGGATCCCTAATATGATACCACAGGCAGCTAGGATGATGACAACTCAAAATAAGAAGCAAGAAGATATGGAGCAGCACTAGATCATAATTACAAACAACACATACAACCAGATTTTTAAAATACCATCTACCCTTTAAAAAGTCAGGGTGGCAGGTAATAAGCGGAAGAGGAGAATGTTTCTGTCTCTTCCTACGCTGACTGTCCTCATTCCATTTATCTCTTTGGCAGGACTGTTCTACTCGGCCTCTGTGGATGAAAACTTCCCACAGGGCTGCACTAGCACAGCCAGCCTGTGCTTTTACAGTCTGCTCCTGCCCATTACCATACCCGTGTACGTGTTCTTCCACCTGTGGACCTGGATGGGTATTAAGCTCTTCAGGCATAATTAGTGCACCCAGATCCAAGATTGTATATATGTTAATGATAAGTCTTGAGTGTCTAGCTCAACTGCATGAAAATACTGGAAACCCACTTAGTTTTCAGGAAAGATGCTTTATGTTGCTTCTGTCAGGCTGAGGACTATGGGAGACTTACATTGCAGAAGCTTCTTTGATTATAGTTTGGTTCTGCCCTTGTTTTTTGAAGGTTCTAATTTATAACTGCTGTGTCAGAAGAAACATCTCGACACAATGTCTTATTGGAAATTAATAATCCCAACCATCCCCTAATGACTTCTTTCTTATCCCTTTCATCCAAATATTAATAATTTGAAATTTTATGTTTGAGATTCAATCTTTGATAAAGTCACATGTTCTACAGATAACTGAAATAATTCCAAAGGGCTATGTTGGAATGTTATAGAGAAATGCATTTGAACTAGTGTGATATAAAACTAATAAAATTGAAATTTCATGTACTTGCAAAAATTTTGAGTTAGTTAAATTACCTTCATTTCTTTTGCATCAAATAGTTACATTAGTAAATAATAAAATGACACTTTTCCATGAAACATTGACACAGTTTTGTTTTTTTGGTCATAAGAGTGTGTTTCTAAGGGAGGGAACATCTAAAAATCTACATTTTAAAGTGGAGGCTATTTTTGGAGGAGTAGTTAATACCCAAATAGAATAGTTTCCCAGGAAAGTATTTACTTTTAGGAGTAGAAGGGGGTGTTAGAAGCCTTGCAAATAGCTGGTTGTGTCCTGTTGAGCTGAGAACTATGTTTTGAGCCACATTTCAGTTTATTTTCCGCCTTAGGGGAGAAATTTAGCATGAGTAAGGGCGTGAGCACTTGGCATAACAGTTCCTAATTTTCCAGAACGTGCAACAAGACTGATTGAGGTTAATATTTTACTAGTTTCCATAAAGAAACCTAAGAATTAAATATACTAATCTTAATTTATTTTTACTAGAATCTTAAATTACTTTAACAGAAGCTTTAATTTTTTATGGAGAGAAAATTAAAATGAGGTTATATGTATTTTATATTACATTCATAACATCACATTTTAAAAATTTATGGCAATCTACAAATAACCTAGAAAACTACAGAGGTTCCCATCATTTCCTGAAGTTACTTTTTAATTTATCCTAAATCTCCCTGTGGTCAGTGTAAATGAAACAGTTCTGTTAACAAAGTAAGCACTGTGTCTTGCAGTCTGTGTCAGCTTTTACAAGTTCAGCATTTTATCATTTTAGAGGAAATTGACAAGTATACCCCGGAGAAGTTCATTATTAAACAACTTCTCACTAATAGAATTCTTGAGCAATAAACTGTACGTTAGGTAGTTTTAAGCAAATTATATATAATTAATTTTATAACGTAAGACAGTGGTCTGAAAACTCAGTCAACAGAGCCAGGTATCAACAGTACAATGATTGAAATTTCTTTGGAGAGCCAAATTTTTTAAACTTAAACTATATAGGTAGACATTGTTATTAACTTAGGTTACTCCTAAGTTGGCTTTTGCTAAAAACTCAAGGGGCTAAAGAGCTGAATGTGGCTTTCGAGTCGCAGTTTGCCGACCACTGACTAGGATAACGGCAATAATTGGGCTGAAATGGAAGCCATCTGGCAATGTGGCTTTAGCTTGTTAATCACTCTACAGTGTTTATCGATATTTTGTGCAAACTCGTCCTTCCTATTTATAAGAAAAACAGGAATCTAAATTCTTGGATTCAAATTCTTATTCAAAGCTGATGCCCTTTTATTATTTTCCTAAAGTAGCTTCTATTTTACCACTTGTAGCACTTACCTTTGTACTGTAATTGCCATTTTCGTCTCCTGTGTAGACAGTAAGCCTGAAAGAATGAACGCATGGCTCTGACAAGCCTTGTAATTTTAGGCAAATTAGCATCTCTGAACTTTATTTTTAGGACTAGAAATCCTTTTTTAAAATATTTGTGAGGAACAAATTAAATTACCTGTGAAAGCACCTTGAAAAGAGCCAAGCAATACTGACTACTGGAAAGGCAGCACAAGGAACTCTGCAAACCAATTGCCCAGTGAAACAACCTACCTGGTAAAATTTAAACAGAACAACGATGTAAAGTCTCTGGAAATTGTCCTCAGGGCATACAGCCAAGTGAGAACCACGAACATCTAAAACTCTACAGCAGACTGTGGTATTTGAACCACCACTCACGTCTTCTGGCTCCTCTCGGCTCGGAGTGACCAGTCCTCCAGAAGGGTGCGGCCAAGGGCGCAGGGTTCCCTTTTCCATCTTCCAGTTGAGGGTTATGTATCTTCTCAGAAGGACCATGCCACCAGCAGCATAAAGGAAATACGTGATTATAAAAGTGTAAATGCATATTTCCTCTTGTCTGATCTGCAGAGCAACTGTATAAAGCAATATATACAGTTGGGGTCTGTGTTATAATATATTGCCATTAAGAGCACAGAGGATGGATGAGAGCAAAGCTGCCCTGGAGTAAGGAGATGACACCAGATGGGTAGCTTGAGTTCGCAGAACAAGTGGAGAACCAGAAAAGATTCCTAAGAGTTTTATAAAAGTGATGCCAACATGTACTTGTCCTTTTCTCAGTTTGGGACATTAATGAAAGTTATAAAGTACTGTTGGGCTGTAACCTGTAGATGGACTGTGCATAATAGCACAAAAAGGGGAAGAACTATAATGTTTCTTATTTCACTGGCACTCAATAGATCTGAAGTTTTAAAAATTTCTCAGGCTCAGACATTGCTGGTGAGAATATAAAGTGCTATAGCTTCTTTGGGAAACGGTTGAAAATACCTCAAAAAGTTACAATATGGCCCCAAATTCCTCTCCTAGGTATATACATACTCAAGGTAAATTGAAAAGGCATCTACACGAAAACTTGTGCACAAATGTTCACAGCAGCATTATTCATAAGAGCCCAAAACAAGCAAAATGTCCATGTGATGAATGGATAAAATAGTGCATGAATTCAAATGGCAAAAACTAGGAATGACTATTGATGCATGCTACAACATAGATGAATCTTAAAGACATGCTAAATGCCAAAACCGGTTTGGCTCAGTGGATAGAGAATCGGCCTGTGGACTCCAAGGGTCCTGGGTTCGATTCTGGTCAAGGGCATGTACCTTGGTTGTGGGCACATCCCCTGTGCAGAGGGCGGCTGATCAATTTTCTCTCTCCCTCTCTGTAAAAAATCAATGAAAATATATTTTAAAAAAACATGCTAAGTCAGTTATAGAAAAATGACATTAACTCAATTTACATGAAATGTTTATCATAGGTAAATCTACAGAAAAAGATTAATGATTGCATAGGGCTGGGGGTGTAGAGTACAGGGTCTCTCTTTGGGGAGATGACATGTTCTAAAATTATGGCAATTATGGCATAATTCTGTGAATATACTAAATACACTGAGTTGTAAACTGCATTTAGCTGAATTACATGTGATGTGAATTACATATCAATAAAACTGTTACCCTTCCCCGAAAAAGCACTATCTATTAGTAAATGTCCAGTATAAGGCACAGCACAGGGTTTTCAAGTTACTTGCTGATGGTCAAATGCTGATTAGAGGCAAGGCCAAAGTGGAATGAAGGTATTAAGGCTTCTAAACTTTGGCCACCATGATCATGTCTGACTTCTGACCCTCTCAGCACAACACCCATTGTTGAAAACCCTCCACGTTTCTCAGGGATCTCCAAGTTCCTCACTAGCAAATCATCCTGATTTCCAACCATTAATGGGACTTCTTCACTAGCTTCCCATTACATAGCTCATGCCACACACACATTGACCTCACCACCTCCACTTACCGCACTGCAAACCCACCATGAGAAATTCTGTCTTATTCTTTCATTGATTGTGACTCATTCCCAATAATTCACTGGCTTCAACATGATAGACCTCTTGATGCCTTGGAGTCTTGTTATTACCAAGATTATTTTCCTTAGTGTTCCTTTTTGCCATCACTGACAGGGATCATCTTTAATTACCTAAAAAATGAGATACTTCTTATCAACTTAAAAAAAGATTTGCTTTTTAAATTTTTATTTATTTAATTGATTTCAGAGAGGAAGGGAGAGATAGAAACATCACTGATGAGAATCATTGACCTGCTGCCTCCTGCACGGCCTCTACTGTGGATCAAGCCCGTACCTGGGCATGTGTCCTTGACTAGAATCAAACCCAGGACCCTTCAGTCTGAAGGCTAAAACTCCATCCATTTAGCCAAACCAACTAAGGCTCTACCCGCTTTCTAAGTGACAGATTCCCACTCTGAGGGCTCAAAAAAGGACTTGTACTCTCCCTCTTTATTTTCTTCCAATCCTGCAAAATGGGCTTTTAAGGAAGTCTCTCTGAACTTCAGACTCTGCATCTGTAAGATGAAAAGGATGATACCCACTTCAGACCTGGCAGCAGTATTAAGTGAGGTAGAGAATATGAAATTACTTAGCCAAGAAACGGTAGTTTCTCACTACTATGTTTACTACCCTGTTTCCCCGAAGATAAGACAGTGTCTTATATTAATTTTTGCTCCCAAAGATGCGCTAGGTCTTACTTTCAGAGGATGTCTTATTTTTCCATGAAGAAGAATACAGTACACATTTATTGTTAAATGAAAATAAAGGAAATTTATTACCTGTATATGGTACAGTAGTACGGTAGTTGTCAATACAAACCAG